CTGAGGACGTCATAACCGCAACAGTGGCTGTCTCACTGTTGGGTTTCACGACTGTTTCAAAGTCGGGACGACGTGAGAGTGCATCAGCGACGACATTAAGTCGTCCTGGTTTGTACTCGACCGTAAAGTTGTATTCTGCAAAGAATGACAACCACCGCGCCATTCGTTGTGAAAGGTGCGGGCTGTTCACTGCCGTGCGTAAGGAAGCATGGTCAGTGTAAACAACGAAGGGTCTATCTCCTAATAGATAGACTCTGAACTTCGCGAGTGCATACTTCATGGCAAGGAGTTCCTTGTCATGCACTGGATAGTTCCGCTCAGCTGGTTGCAGCTGACGCGACTGATAGCAGACGACGCGTTCAACGCCTTCAAGGTCGTACTGCATTAATGCACAGCCGATTGCGAAATCGCTGGCATCACAGACCACATGAAATGGCCTGTCCTGATCGGCTATTGCTAGGACTGGGGATTGTATCAAGCTCTGCTTGATACCCTCAAAGGAGCGTTGACATTCAGCGTTCCATAACCACCTCTCGTTCTTTTTCAACAAACGAGAGAGGTGTACAGTCATCTCGGCGTAATTGCGTGAATACTTATGCAAATACGCCGCTAGCCAAAGGAATTTTCGAAGACCTTTGACATCAACTGGCACAGGCCAGTCGGTGATCGCCTTGATCTTTTCGGGATCAGGACGTACACCGTTCTTACCAACGATGCACCCAAGAAGTGGTATTTCGCTTGTTGCAAATATACACTTCTTGAGATTAGCATACAATTGATGCTTTCGCATGATTGTAAGAACCTGTCGGACGTGGTACCTGTGTACCTCAAAATCCGACTTTCCATCCATAGCCCGACTATGAATGAATACGTCATCGAAATAACTCGGCGCAAATTCTCGTACTGGTCTCAACAGATGTGATACACATCTGTTGAACGTGGCAGAGGCATTTCTAAGCCCTTGTGGCATTACTATCCACTCCCAGAGCATGCCGCTAGGCGTGCTAGCTGCGGTATAGGGTATGTTCCGTTCTCGCATAAGGATTTGATAAAAGCCATCCATCAAATCCATGGACGAAAAGATGGTACTCTTTGCCATACCATCAATGGTTACGTCCTTCCTTGTTATCGGCGTCTGATCCGGTACCGTTGCAGCATTCAACCTGTTAAACGCGTGCACAATCCGCCACCCTCCTGTTGCTTTTCGCACACAGAAGGTCGGAGAGCTATATGGGGAAGTTGACTCCCTCACTTGGCCAGCAGCTAAACGATCGGCAAAGAACTTGTCGATCGCAAGTACTTGTTCACGAGGCAGTGGCCACTGCTTCATGACACAGTACTTCGAGCCTGGTTTAAGCTCGACCTCGTGTCGAGTACCTTTATCCTTCGGTAACTCGCACGGAACTGTTTCGGGGAATACATCCTTGAATTCAACCAAATCTTCATAGAGAGGATTTGTCTTGAGCGATTCCCACGATTGGGAGTCATATCGCTCAGCTCGTGTCTTTTCATCGAGGACACTCTCGTCCATTGATAAACTACTGAGAACTCTCTCGTTCTCAGTGAACACTGTTGCTGACCTTATGTCGGCTACACACTCGTCGTCAGCGACGAGTACGCAGATCTGCTTGACGTTGCCACTACGCAGATCACGCCAGAAACTTTTATGTTCGAGCGTTGGCAACTGAGTGATCCCCGAAGTTAACTTCGGAGGCGCAATCAGATCAAGTGTATAAGCGCCTACACATGATCCATTATTGACTATGACATTCAATGTCTCTGTCATTTCCTGAGGACTTATTCCCTCAGGCTTCGAAGGACTTATTCCTTCGTCTTACCGGGGACTTATTCCCGCGGGTTTCGAAGAACTTATTTCCGCCGTATTTGTAATCTTGGGACTTATTCCCTTTACTTCCTCTAGCTGGGGTTGCGCAACCACAGCGAGATCCTCTACGAAATACTCTCCAGTCGATCTAGGATTATCGTTTCGCTTAACCTGAGCGACCGATGGTTTCTCTTCTAGATGTTCCCCGTTAGGGATACATCTTTGTCCCGGTCCGCTCGACTTCTTCGAGTGGTGGACCTTCGGCGCAGCCTGTGTTTCCTCACAGCCACCGGAACTTTGCTCCGAAGTGTAACTGTTTGTTACACTAAGGTTTTTTGGAGCCGTACTAACGACCGTACCACAAGTGAGGCCATCGCACTCACTCGTAGTACATCCACACGCTTGTGGACGCTCCAAAACGTTCATCAGATGGCCATCTGATGTCAAGCGGCGGGCATCGTTACTGTTCGATGTTGCCAGTTTACCCGTGGTTCGTACCTTCTGAGCCACTGTATTCCAAGGATGACATCAAATTTGTCATCCAAATCCAATACGACATAGTCATCGTCATATTGGGTATCTTCTAGCGTATAGTGGATCTTCACTATACGCTTCATGACGGTTACGGATGCGCCTGTCGCAAGACGTACCGTCACCCTCGTAGGAGGTGAGTCACATTCACTGAACTTGAAGTGACCATCTTCTAGCGATTGGCGTTGCACAAAATTGTTGGACGCCCCACAATCGACTAGAGCTCGAAAGGGACAACTCATTTGTCACTTCGAGTTTCAAGGTAATGAGTGATACCTCATTACCTAGAGCAGCAACGCACAACGTTTGTGTGTTGGGAGCAACCTTCATCAAGAGGCCTACAAATTCTCTTGACGTTACTGGACCAGTAGGGTGCTCCGCACCTACTGATCCTGACCGTTTTTTGACGGTCCATCCCGTCGTTACGTCTTTGCACCAATAGCGGACCCGCGTCCCTGCCCCTTTCTTATGGGTGGACTGTCACTACGCCCAGTGTTACGAGACACTGGACGAAAGGACTACACTCGTAAGCGTAGTGTCCTGTCTTTTGAAATCTATTGCATTTCTGCAACCTCTTGTAGTCTGTAGAGCGAGCCTTCTCGCTCTCTACATAACAGAGTTCCATAGGCTCTGGACCTCCGCTGTCATATCGCCTCGTTAAAAAAACGATGTCGAGCTGGCGCGAGCGTGTCTCAGACTGAAGTCTTCCTGTTACGCAATGGAAAAGTCTTCCTGTTACGCAATGAAAATGGCTCGTTCTAGTGAATCCAGTTCAAGTCGAAACAGGTGAGTCTTGACGGGACCATCCGCGAGACCCTGCATGAACACCGAAACCAACGTGTGTTCATCAACCGGATTGGAACTTATACAACTCGTGAGATGTCGTAAATGTTGAGCGTAAGCGTGCACATCACGCTTACCTTGTTTCAGCTTCGAGAGTTCGGTTCGAGCTCTGAACTCAGCTCTAGGCGGTTCAAACGTTTGTCTGAGCCGCGACTTGAATACTTCTAACGACCCAAACGCATATGGGTCGTACAACTTGAGCCCCAGTGCCCAAGTCTTGGCACGTCCTGCCAGATTTGATTGGGCAAATGCAACTTGCATATCCCCGTCGTCGATGCGACGCGCCCTTATGGCGTCGTCTAATCCGACAAACCATCTCAAGAGGGAGCACTCTTCGACTCCCCTATACTTTGAGATGTCAATCTTCAAAGTCTCGGGCCGACGCGAGTGCATCGACCCGCCAGCAGCAGCCTGCTGCTGTCTCAACAGTTCAAACTGTTGAGCACCTTGTTCTCTCAACAACTCTGCTTGTTGAGAACCTTGTTGGTGAAGCAAGGCTACTTTCTCGCGTTCAGCGTCAAGTTCATTTTGAATGAACTTGGCGATAGTAGCATGTTGGGCATCTCTATTGAGAGCCTCTAGCATGACGCTAACAGCATGGATGCCCATGGTCGAACCCATCCGTTCAACCGCATCCCATTCGATATCGCTCAAATGGGAGTAGCCGTCACGCGTAGCGTGAAAGCTTTGGTCATCTTCATCATCCAACATATTCATGTTAGATGTGAACGTGGTCCTTGGACGGACTACGAAGTGCTACCAGGTGTAACGGGGCACCCTGAAGCTTGTACTGGTAACAGTACAGCTACTTATTCTGACGACAGAATAAGGAGGTGCCTTGGAACTTCACGTACACTCGTACGTGCATAGGAAGACGGTAAGAAGAAGCGAGTACTTGGTCAAAGTAAAAAGTAGAACTGTATTTATAATAGTTAATGTCTGTTAATAAACCACTGTTTATCTTCATCTAACTATGTCTAAATACAAATGTGCAAATCAACTATCTGCTCACCACTCATTGCGTGCGTCTGTCGTGGCGCGTCTTCGTTGGTTGATATAATGGCCTATATCAACCAATTAGGAACTACTTGTAAGTGCTACAGAATATTTGTCCTTATGACAATATTCTGGGAATATAACTCTTATAGTTCTATTCTATTAACAATTTCTTATAAATTGTTATGTAACGGTTCACCCCGTTACACCCGGCATCTACAAAATTTTGATAGTAATGTTAGTGTACATCACATCCGATGGGCGAATTAGCCAGGCCTCTAGGTGCGTGCGGTACAGTAAAGTGGTAATCACAGCGTAAACAGTAAAAAGTAATAGGATAGGTCTGACGTCATTGAATGACGTCACAGTTTAACGTCATTATCTGACGTCATTGAAAAAGCTTCTAGAAGGATCCAGACGGGTAGGCTTAGAGTAACACAAGGTAGCGAACTAAGGACTTACATTAATTCGGTTTCAATGTACCTAGTGAACGACAAGTCCTTACATCTGGTAGCACTTGTTGGTCCCAGCCGTCTCTGCTGTCTTCGCCGTCTTCGTCGTGGCCGTAGTATCCGTCGTAGCCGTAGTAGCCGTAGTAACCGCCGTCGTCGCTCAAGAGCAGAAATCTGGAGAATTTATCGTAAGTCCCAATCGTTTTGCGAACAAAGACTCCTTTTCGTTGGCTGTAAATCCTACCGGGCCATTATCACTGCTACCGTTATCGTGGTCGTGGTCTTATTGACTAAAAATCGACTCGTATCAAAAATAAGTCAGATCGGTTATCGGAAGGTTAGTACTTCAATTCATGACCCGCCACCCGCGCAAGCAGCCTACGCCACCAGACATTAATGAATGGCTGGCACGGCTATCCGTGACAAAGCCGGACGCATCCGACAAGTGCCGTGCGGGCCTAATGGAAGCAATTTGTCGCACCAGACGCATACTTTTCCGCTTCGAGAAGCACCTGGACACGGCCCAACGCTCCGACTCGCGCAAACACATCAAGACTCGGCTTTTGGAGCACGCTAGCGACTTGCTCAGCTTTGAGAGCACTGAGAGCTTGCGCATCACGCGAGATTATCAAGCACACGAGCAAAATCGCCCGAGTTCGGATTATGGACCACCAGGGCACAAGGTCGTGCTCGCCCGCCAACAACCGACGGCCAAGTCAAACATGTCCTTGAAGCTCGGATCAAAGGTTATCAAGAGAAGCACCAATACCATAGCTACGCCAGATTCAATTAATTAATAGTTAATTTCATGTAGTTACTGTACCGATCCATAATGTCCACCCCAATGACTTCCGATCATGCACAACTGCTGCAATCAATGGGTACGACAATGGAGAAACAATCTCGGTTGCTAGAGCAGTTTCAGGGTCCACACAACCATCGGAAATCAAGCTTAAAGGTGTAAAACTTCCGACGTGTGGTGGCAGATTGGACGAATCGTTCCACCTCTACAAGGAGCAAGTAGAGCAATACTTCTTTGCTTGAGGAGCGAACTGGAAGTGTCAAGAGCTCTTTCTACGCATACTAGCCGATTTGGGGGGCACACTAAAGCAAGGAGCTGCTCAGTGGTGTGTCATGCAAAAGCAGTACATCACAACCGCGGACGACTTCTTCTTCAAAAATGATCGTAAATTCGTTACAGCTAGTTTACAAGAGCGTCTGCGTGAAGAAATGAATGATTTGAGAGAGCGCGATTGCAAAGACCTCCCTGAATGTGTGAGCAAGTTACGCCACGTGGTAACTCAAGTCCAACACACGAGCGAACTGGACCGGATTATTTACTTTCTGTGCGGACTTTCTGGTTGCACGCGAGAAGATGTCCAGTCCCGTCGCTGTACAACGTTGTCGGACGCTATTACTGTTGCGCTGGACTTTGACCGTTCGCATCCGCCGAAGCATTCCCGGGGCAGCTCACAAGATAAACCCAGGTACAGGTCATGCGACATTAGTCGTCGATGTCAATCAAACACTGGCCCAGAGCCAATGGACGTAAGCACCCTGCAATTTCCTTCTCGGTACGAATGTCGTCGCCGAAATTTGTTTTTCAAATGCGGTAGTCCGAATTATCGCTTCGCACAGTGTCATTAGCGCTCCAAACGTTCTGTTCGAGAAAACACGAATTCCAGACGAAAATACCAACATCAGGTACATCGTCAGCATGTCAACAATGTGAACAGCCGTGAGTACGAACAGGACCTAAGTGTTTACGACCGAGTCACAATTACAGAAGTGGAGGTACAAAGGAATTCTGAGGTATTATCTATTGCCATCCACTCAAGTAGATCGGGGGCGGACATACCAGCGCAAAGTCGGCGATTCGTTCGTGATAGTGTTTTTGGTAAACAAGCCGTTAAAAATTTTATTGACTCGGGAGCGTCAACAAAATTTAATCAAACCCGGCTGGCGTCCAAAGCTCTCAGCGAACAGATGGTCCAAGCACGACGTTTTGATTGTGCCTGGACATCGAGTCAAACCACAAAGCGGGTGGAAGATACCATTCGTATCGAAAGTATGGAGCCCCCTAAAATGCAGTGTACGGAATGGGATCTACCGGATACACATGACTTGACGTTTGGTCAACCCTGGTTAACCATGTACAATCCCCAGATCAACTGGCGTACGCAACAAATTGAAGATGCAGCACATACGATGTTCGAAGACGTGGATGGTCCGACCGTCCAAGCGAAAATGACTAGCGGGGCCTACGAGGAAATTTATCAATAAAAGTTACCACCAAATACCATACGGAGATACCGCTTGAGCTACAGCCAGTACTGGACGAATACAAGGACGCATTTCCCGACCAACTTCCAGAGGTAATGCCTTCGACGCGATCGGTCAACTTTGAGCTACACATGAAGCCTGATGCGGTGCCGAGTTCTAGGGCCCCCTTCCGTCTATCGAAAATGGAGCAGGACGCTCTCCAACAATTTGTGGAGGAGAGTATACGGAAAGGATGGATCTAGGTGTCTAGCTCTCCATGGGTCTCAAATATCTTTGAGATTCCCGAAAAGGATCCTGTAACCGGAAGGTTCCCTAAACGCGCCTAATGGCTCCGCAGCGGAAATTCTAGGTCCCCATTAGATGGTGATTGACTACCGCTTTGTTAATAGCATGTCTGTCGTGGCAAAATTTCCTTTGCCATTGATCGAGGAACTGTTCGACCGCATGGTCGGATGTAAAAAAAAAATTTCGCTTCTAGATCTTGCGCAAGGGTACCATCAAATGGTAGTCGTACCATCCAGTCGATCCTATGCGGCTTTTCGCACCCAAGAGGAAACGTATCAATGGTGTGTAGCACGCATGGGCTTATCCGGAATGCCTGGTGTCTGGTCGCGGCTTATGCGCACGTTGTTCGACCAACTCGGAACCTTTGTCGTGGTGTATCTTGACGACATAAGTATCTTCTCCTGTACAATGGAGGATCATGTCGGCCACGTTCGCGCAGTATGCGCCGTGTTGCGTAAGGAGAAGCTCAATGCTCGACTCTCCAAGTGTGCGTTTGGTCGTAACGAGATTGCATTTTAGGGCATATGGTTTCCGACGAAGGTTTGCGGGTCGACCGAAAGAAGACCGATGCTATTGCAACGTTTCAGGCGCCGACGTGTCGCAAAGAGCTGCTGAGTTTTCTCGGACTCGCTGGGTGTAACCGTCACTTCATCGCATTAACCAAGCAAGATACTCGCTAAGGCTGGGGGGAGGATCAACAGCGATCGTTTCACGCATTAAAACTAGCACTTCAGCAGGCTCCGACGCTAAAGCTTCCAGACTTTACGCACCTTTTCATTGCCACTACGGATGCGTCTGGGTTCTGCATGGGCGGTGTCCTCTCTCAGCGCAATAATAATAACGACCATGCCATTGCGTTTTATTCGAAAAAATTGGGATCCCGAGAATTGAAATGGCCAGCTTATGAGAAAGAGCTGTCAGCGATCAAGACTGCTTTCGCGAAATGGCGTCCGTATCTCCACAAACGACACTTTTCGGTCTACACCGACACATTAGCGTGCTAATGGATTCGCCACCATCCCAAAGTGTCGCCAAAGATGTCACGCATGCTGACGTTCTTCTTCCAGTTAAACTTTGTCTTACATCATGTTATTGGACGGTCTAACGTCGTGGCCGACGCATTATCTCGCCCGGCCGTGTCTGGATATCCGTCCAGTGCGCTTGCTGTTCCTAAGTGCCAAGTTCCTGATCTGTCGCACGTCGTACATGAATGTACGGATGATTGTGCACTCAGCTCTCATCTTTCGCAGCAACACATGCTTCACTCCGCTCTCACGCGGTCCATTCCGCTTGCAGTCGCACACCTCTTACTTGACGATGTGGAGTTGCGTGAAGAGTGTCGTCCGATAGGAATTGCTCAGGAGCAAATCCACAACGCCGCGTTTTACGTGGTGCGGGCACATCTCAGTGACAAAGTGTGAAAAACGATATAGCAAAATATCGTACTGACAAGTTTTTTCAAAAAATCTTAAAAACTTTACAATCGAATGACAACTTCATAATCGACAACGGACTCATTTATATAAAACAAGATGAGGCATTGCAGCAGATTTGCATCCCAGACATACCAGAAATGAAGACGAAGCTTCTACACGAGTTTCACGATGCAGCCACAGCGGCACATCCAGGAGTGCACCAAACTTACATGAAGCTAAAGCAATGGGGTTTACTGGCCGAAGATACTTAAAACTGTGCAGAAGTATGTGGAGACATGTGAAACATGCACTCGATGGAAGTCTAACAGCCAGCTAAAGAAAGGATTAATGATTCCTATTCCCATTCCGGAGGAATGCTGGCAAGTAGTGTCCATGGACATCATCACTGGGCTACCCGTGTCGGAAGGTTATGATGCTATTTGCGTCGTCGACAAGCTGTCAAAGAGGCCGATCTATGCACCGATATATACGACTGCCGATTCGAAAGACACCGCGGACCTATTTTCGACGCTGTAGTCCGACATCATGGATTGCCGAAGGTTATTATCAGCGATCGGGGAATCCAGAGTTCATGGCGAACTTCTAGAAATCGCTGATGAATATAATGGGTGTCCAGTTAAGCATGACGACCGCTCAAAGAGCGCAAGCAGATGGGCAAACAGAGCGCCAAAACTTGGTGTTGGAAGACGCTTTACGCTGCCTGGCATCGTACAGTGGCAAAAATTAGGCACAGCTACTTGGTATTGTAGAGTACGCGCACGCTACGTCGGTGAACGCGTCTACTAATCTCACCCCGTTCTAAATCGATACCGGGAGAAAGGTATCCAATCTGATTTCGCATGAATACATAGACCACGATGATCTGGGCTCACATTCAAGTTCAAAAATTGCCTTAAAGTTTGCCACGGATCGTCAAAAACTAGTACGCAAGGAACACGAAAACCTGGAACAAGCTTAGAAAAGGCAAAAGAAGCACTACGACTCGAAAGGAAGAAGCAATACATTCAATGTCGGTGACTTAGTTCTGTTGGATGCCAAGAAACTACCGCTCGGAACAGTGAACGCTCACATCGATCTAAAAAAAGCGAAGCTCGCGGCAAAAAAGTGGGACCGTTTGAGATAACCAGGATGATCAATCCAAACGTAGCCAAGTTAAAGCTACCGCGAAATATGGAGAGACTGCACTCCTCATTCAACATTGATCTACTCTCCCCATTCAGACCAAATGTCTCCGAGTTCGCTGGACGACCAATTCCGAAAGCAGCACCAGGTGTACTAGAGCCAGACACCGGAGAGAAACTACACAAAGTGGAAAGGTGACTCAGTCGTCGTCAGCGCAGTCGCCATATAGAATGGCTAGTCAAATGGCACGGCCACCCGAAGTGTGACAGTACTTGGGAGCGCGAGAGTACCATCCGCCAAGTTTCGCATTGGCAGCAACTAGTCCAAGATTTTCGAGACGGCCAACGCAAAGTCAAGTCCGGGGAGATGTCAGGCCGCTAGGTGCGTGCAGCCGAGTAAAGTGGTATTTACAGCGTAAACAGTAAAAAAAGTAAAAGGATAGGTCTGACGTCATCAGCTGACGTCAATGAAGAAACTTCTAGAAGGATCTAGGCGGGTATTCTTAGAGTAACACAATGTAGCGAACTAAGGACCTACATTAATTCGGTTTCAATATACCTAGTGAACGACAAGTCCTCACAGTGAATGTCAAGATGTATAACAGTTGACCCGATCAATGGACGATATAGTCGTGTACTTCATCATTGCGCTCTGCATCTGCACTTGGTACA